CTTCACTGCGCTATAAATAATCTCGATGAAGATGCAGGGATATGACTTTCACAAGATTGGACAATTGATTAAATCTGTGACCTGCAATTGCGAATAATCTTGGAAGGCTATTTAAACAGATGAAGGCCTAAATTGTCTTGCTTGTATCTGAATTAATTTCTCATTCATCATCATTATGGAGTGATTGGTTCTATTCAGGCTTTGCAGCCTGCTGGAACGAAACTGGATTTAAATGAGACTGTAACACAATTTAAATGCTCCCCAGCTTTAACGAGGCCAATCGAGCAGCTGCAATAAACACAAATATTTTTCTAAACAGCCTTGTTTTAAATAATTACTTAATACTTTCATGTGATGTTCTTAAGTGGCAATTTCTGTCTCTGAAGTCCCAGGCACTTCTTTGCAGAGAAAGCAGCAGGGAAAATCTATTTATTTGCTTTGCGTGTATATGTGCCTGCAATACACTGACGGAGACTCTTTAAAATAAGTTTTGTAAATATTAGTGTAAACCTGCTCTACGTTTTTTGGTCGTAGATCCACCGAGTTTAACTTATTTAAAAAACTAAATGAAATAAATAAATAAATCAAAAGGCAAACGGTGAATTGGCGACCAGAGGTAGTGATTTTTTTGTTTTCTTGTTAGAAGATACTGAACTAGCTACCTCTTCTTCCCCCTACTTAAAAGAGAGTGAGAGAGAAAAGAAGAAAAACTTTCCAAAATAGGGACTATTTCTGGCGGCGATCTACCCTAATCAACTGTAACTGCATCCCTTCCGCAGTACCAGCTCTCCAGACCCGTACAGCGGTTTGCGCCTTATAAGAGGAGAAGCGAGAAGATCTGGCTGGAGCAGGCAACAAATAAGGGGCTCTGGGACGTGTGACTGGTTCCCCCCCACACCCCTTAACACCCACCCAGGAACCTGATGCGCCTAAATGAAGCCATTTGTGTTAACGAGAGTTCATCTCATCCTGACGTTGGCTTTACCCCAGGGTGACACTATGGTACTGTTGTAAGGACAGCGGGCCTTGGGGTGACATATGGTGGAGGGTGTTTTCAGGGGCTAAACTCAGCAGTAAAAGAAAGTAGCCAGGCGAGCAGGAGAATAATAGAAAACAAAAGGATCCTTTAGACAGACAAGCCAAAAAGCTAAAAGAGCCGCATGTCTTTCTGCAGGTGCCGGCAAAAGACCTAACAACCCAGCAGAAAATGTGAAATATAGACAGACGATTTGCTAATTATTTGGGCGCTGAAGTAAAGAATAGTGCTGGGAAAGCAGATCCGATCCAGTTTAATCACACGACCTTAATAAAAACATATCATCTGGGACGGGAAAGTAAGCGTCAGTCTCGGTGCTATCTCGCTTAATGGTACAGAAGGTGACAGATAAAACACAACAAAGACGGACAGAGTGATTTGATAGTAACGGAGCAATTTAATGCGCGAGTTACAGCGCTGCTCCTCGGGATCGTTTAGGCTTAACCCGTTCTCTAGAGCTCATCTTCTTCCTTTTCTGGTCCTTTTTTTATTAGTAGTATTATTATTCAGTTGTTTAAAATGAGCATTATCCCAAACATATGCAGTGCAATCAGCTCGGTCACACTTACAAGAACACGCTTTAATAAGGCAATCAATCAAACGCTAACGGGGAAGGGGGGCGGAGGGAGGGAAGGCCTTTCGGAGTTGAATTTGACTGGCTGGGAAGCGAACCTGGAGTAGTACATGGAGTACCCCGAAGAAGAGCTCTGCTCCCGCTGGTGTCAAGGAGGCAGGTGCTCACTGCCGGCTCCCCCAGGACCTCACCCTAATTCCTCGAAGGGATTCATTCCCGGCCAGGGCCCGCCAACGCAAACCTGCCTGCTTGGTGGCAGTGGCTCGGGGCCAGGGGCAGAACCTGCTGCCGGCTGGGTGTCCTGTGCCTGCCCCGGGCCGCCAGCGATGCCCCACGCGTGTCCGGAGGCGATGCCCCGCGTGGGGCCGTGGACACCCCCACTGGCGGCTAACGCGTTAGCGGCACCGGCCCCACGCAGCAAATGGAAAATTTCATTATGAAGTAATGAGTAATTCCTCCCACTGAGATGTATTGTTATATCTTCCACTTCAATTTAGGAGCACAGCGGCTCAATTACCTAGAAAATACAGTCAATTAAAGGCTGCTGATTGGACACGAGGACGGATCATCGATCTTGTACTTTCCAATATCGCTCCAGACACCTCATTTTCCCTCCCCTATTAACTGAAAATACTCTTGGCATTACCGCGACCCCTCAGCCTATTTACCTGTCGCAGACAATTTCTGCCCTGTGACCGAACCGCGGAGAAAATCACAGAGACCCTTTGCCGCAGCATCTTCCAAGAGTGGGTGATCGGGAGGGCTGCAGTGGAGATGCGGGGAGAGCAGGGACCGTGCCGGCTGCGGACGCTACCGATCCCTGCTTCCTTTCTGCCCGCTCGCTAAGGGGGAGTGTCCCTATCACGGGTGGAAGAGCTAAACAGACGTTTAAATTTTCACTTTCTCACGCACACACACCTAGATATATAAAATTTCTGTATTTAACAATACATATATATTGCTCTGCCCCCCAGCTGATGGTATTTTCTGGACTAGTCACTTTGCAGAAGCAAACTGGTGCCGCGATAGCAGAAGCAGCCCCGGTCGATCCCGGCCTGCGATTTCGGCCCAGCAGATGCCTCCGCCCGGTCGAGGAACGGGACATCGTGGGCTATTTAGGACTCCCCGTTTTTGTTGAGCAGCCCTCATTCTGCCGTGCCCTCCCCTCCCCCGTCCTCTTCAGCGCTCCCTTCTCCCGGGGTCGCCGGGGGGTTGTATAAGGCACTGGCTCTGCAGCTCCTATTTTGTTGGACTGGTTCTTCTCCTGTGTACTAAAAGAAAAAGCATAGGAGAGGAAAGGCTTGCAAAGCTCGGTCGTTGTTCGGCACTGCCCTTGGACGCTGTTTACAATTGTTATTTCCGGGAGGATGGGGCGGGGGGGGGGGGGGAGAATCTGTTTGCGAGTGTCCAAAAAGGGCCATCGGTTTCCATGTCCATGAGGACATCTCATTCAGAAAGGGCGGAACAATATGCCCTTAATGATTTAAAGATGGTGACTTTGGATCAGGTTTTTAAAAGCTGTACTAAACAATATTTTTTTTAATTGGAAAAATATATTCTGCTACGCCCGTGCCTCTTCCCTGCTCTCCATCCTCTATAGGGAAACGCTGCTATTCACCCCCTTTCCTAAGGACAAAAAGTCTCCGGTGTGACAATAAACCAGAGGCTTTTCAGCAATTTAGTACAAAGTAGATAGCAGAGGTGTCAACACGTCTTTGTTCTCTCCAGCATTTATTTTCCTGCTTGTTGAACTGTAACTATTAGAAACTGCACGGTGAAATTCGTCTTAAGCAACACTTGTAGTTGTTTTTCTTATTAACAAGCACGATAAAAATATGAGTGAGATGCTGAGAAAATGTGTCGTTATTATCGGGTTTGGTGGTTTTATTTTTGTTGCTTTTAAGTTTTATTCTGACATGGTAACAAATTATGGCAGTGTATTCTTTGGGCCATTTTAAAATAGAATGAAATAAACAACTGCTGTTTATTTCAGGAAACTACTGAAATAAACTGCTACCGAGCCCCGTGCCAGTGTTTTTTAAATTTTAAGTTACAGAAATCCAAGCAAAAGCAATGACGCTACCTTCTTCCGAAATACCTTCTGAAGAGGAGGCGAGGTGGGGGGGAAAGAGTGAGCTTGTGAAAGAAAAACTCCTCAAGAAGGAAGAGGAATCAGTGTGACGGGCACATACAAATGCAAAGATTAGGGCTGGGGAAGGAAACACAAAACCCAAAGCATGAAATACATTTTTCTTTTAAAGGAAAAATAAAAGAAAAGAAAGAAGACACAGAAGGAAATGGCAATGAGAGAACTGAAGGCTGAAGTACAAAGGAAGGGAAATCGCCTTTGCTCCAATTTACAGACTGGTGATTGTCTGAAGGAGTTGTGCTCCCTGTCACCTAATCTCTTCCCTTGGCGGCTTGTTAGCGTTTGGCACGGGCTCTTTGCTCACAAAGCATTGTACATTCGATATTCAAAAACCCTCTTTACATATACATCACTTGCTAATTTCGTCAGTGTGTGCACATTTCAGCGACTGATAATAGGACATTGATATTTAAAGGACAAATAGCTCTGACCCATAAAGAGGCAGGAGCTCATATTTTTTCCCTGCCAATTCAAGTCTACCTCTTAAAAATAGAAGTTGGAATAAAAGAGGAAATGAAATGCTGGATTTCTGCTCACAACGAAGGACTAGAAAAGGGAGGGTGAAGAATGCAATTAAACCACAAAAGTAATGTACAGAATGACAGGTTTTCTTTATGGTAAAGCATTGTTATTCTCTATAGAGAGAAATGGATAATACTGTCGAGGTGCAAACAGAAGATCTTTTGGGTTTTTTGCTGCCTGCCCGTTTTTATTTTCTGAACACTGAGAGATTACATCTTTGCTTTCTTCATGCGCACAAGCCGTTTCGTTATCAAGATAATGTTTCTTTCAAGTATTTCAGATTTTCCTTCTCTGTCTCGTAGGTTTGTGCATAAGGTTTGTCGCTGTGATCTACAGAAGCCCCAGCCCTTGGGAAGAAGTCTATCCATGGAAAAGAAAGTCCTAGCACATTTCTGTAGGTTACTGAAGTGTATTTCATTCGGGTTGATTTTCTTCCTCTTTCGTGCCTAAAATCCGTCTCAGAGATAAACCACTAGTAATTTCTTTCCTTCTTCTTTCTTCTCTTTTCTCTTCTTTCTTTTTTCTTTTCTTTTCTTTCTCCCTCCCTCCAACTTGGAATGTAAATCCTTTTAAGACTGAGCTATTTTTAGTCTTTTTTTTTCCTGTAGGTGTCCACGACTGAGCAGAGAACACGATTAAATAAACATGGGCTGTAAGTACATTAACTCGAAGAGAAGCCCGGGAAAGGGACGAGTGTTTAATAACCCTGAGACAAAGGTTTATCTCGTTAAAGGTACTTCTTCTCGCTGGTCCATGGAAACTGAGGTGGCTTTGCTCAGCACAGAGGGCGTGAAAGTCAGGAAGGAGTCAGTCCTGGTTGTGGCAGAACAGGTAAAGTCTGATCCAGAGGGTCTCTGAGCCAGCCCGTTGGACTGGCCGCTGTGGCAAGCCAGGCAGGAGCAGGGGTTGCTCCCGGCGCTGCTGAGTCCATGAGTTGGGGCAGGGTAGAGAGAGGGATGCCTGAAGGCGCACAGCAGTTCTGGTCTCGGGTAGGGATGGGAGAGGACCCTGAAGGTGTCCAGCGGCCTCAGGGGGGTACTGAAGGGGGTGGCGGCAGAGGCCGATGTGGCGCCGATGCCCATGTGGGAGTAGTAGGGCAGGGGCAGGTGGGACGGGAATGGATACGGCAGGTTCCCGGTGGCCGCTGCGTGGCTCATCATGTAGGTATAAAACGCCGGGTCGGCCGGGTGAGGCCAGGTCATGGCCAGGCGCTGCCGCTTGTCCTTCATCCTGCGGTTCTGGAACCAAACCTGCGGGGAGAGGGGAGGCGAGAGCCGTCACCCGCCGTCGCTCCGCTCCGCCCGGCTGCTGGTACCAGCCCCTGCCCCGGGGCGGTGCGGCGGACGCGGATCTACCGGAGAACTGAGACCGACGCCAGTTCTCCCCCTCGGAGGGAGTTGTCATCACGTACGGAGGGATCAGTTAAGCCCCAGTAAAAAATCTATAGGGAGACCCAGAGGAGCAGCCCTTTTAGTCTGCTTGTTTTCCTTTCTGCTTGCTAGGGCTTGTCCTGCTGCGCACCATCCCCCGCCCCTCGGTCCCGGCCAACTGGGCAGCTCTGCCTCCTTGCTGCCCTTTCTCATCCAGAACTACCTGGCTTGCTGTCGGGTTTATTTTCATGAGCAAATAGTTTTGAAAAGGCAAAGGAAAGTGAGATGGAAACAAGATCTGCTACTGGCTTCCTCTTCCCTCCCCCAAGAGCTGAGTGAGATTTGGACTGGACTGAAGGAAGGATTAAAAATAATCTGCCAGGGAGAGGCTGGATTAGCGGCGCTGGCCGGGATGGCTCCAGGAGCCGTGTCCTCTCTCCCGCATTGCTGCAGGGTGCGGGCAGGGCCAGGAAAGGGGCGGGAGGCGGGGGGAGCTGAGAGGGAGGGTTGTGCTGGCGAAGTGCTTTCCCGAGTTTTGCAAGGAAGTTTGGCCATATAGATTTATATCGTGCTAATTAAAAACATGTCCGAGCTGCGTGTACCTTGATGGTGGTTTCTGGCAGATTGAGAGCAGCCGCCAGCTCACATCTCCGGGGCCTGGACACGTAATTTTCCCGGTAAAACTCCTTCTCCAGACGGGCGATCTGCTCGCGGGTGAAGGCGGTGCGGTACCGGCGCATCTGGTCGCTGGCGCTGCAGGCGAGTGAGCCCTGGGAGCCTCCGCTGCCTCCGCTGCCCTTGGGGTGATCCCCCGCCAACGCCTCGAGCACGGCCCTGCGTGGGGGCCGGAGCAACGACACACGCTCGGAGGAGGGCAGGCACGGAGGGATGCTCGCTGCCCGCCGCCCCAGCGAACTCCCTTCTCCCCACCCAGTCCTCCCCATTAGGCTTTTCTGTGCCTGTCCGGGTGTACTGAGGATGCTGGGAAGACATGCAAGAGGGACCGGAGAGAAGGGCAGGGAGAAGGGGGATGAAACACCGGTTAAGGGTTTGACGGGTACTTATTCACTCTGGTTGGAAGGTAATCTGCCCCCGCCATCCCTCGACACACACACGCCGCACTGGCGGTGTCTGCCCGATGACCCCCCACTCGCTTCCCCCACCGGGAACCGGAGGCGGGCGCCGCAGCATCCCCCGACACTGAGCGTCTGGGAAAGGCAGGTGTGCCCGCCGGCCGAGCCGCACGTCTCCGCGGCGCCTTTCTCCAGGTCAGCAAGGACCCAGGAGAGGAGCAGGCAGGGACCCTTTTCTCTCTGAGGGAAAGACGAGGCCTCGGGGATCCTCTGTTCAGCCTCCAAAGCCCAGGATGGGGTATTTTCAACGAGCCTGTAAGGAACAAGGGAGGGCAGACAGCGCTCTCCACACTTCCCGGCTTCTTCTTGAAGTGATGGAGGAACGGGAAGCGGGGGGAATTGGGTTGTTGTCAGCATAGAAGGGGTCTTTGCCGAGCTGGAAAGGTGGGAATAGAGAGTGGGAAGTGGGGGCAGGGGGAAAAGGGGCCTGGCCGCTGCTTTTGCTTTCAAATGCAACTCTCCCTCATTGTGCCCGAGACCAAAGGCAATTAATTCATTGGGACCATTTCCGAGCTGGCGCCACGGAGACATAGAAGTGACAAGGTAATTTGGGCCTTTTTTTTTTTTTTTTTAAACCCAACTAGCAAACAAGGCCGTCACTACCGCTCTTGGGGCAGGCGAGCGATTTTACGGTCTTTATGGGCGCTTCCGCACTCGCCCGGGCACATTTCACCCTGCAAAACCACAAACAGCTCTCGGCCACAAAACCCGTTTGATCTTGCTCCCACACACACACATACAAAAAAACCCGCCGGCATGGAGGATCGTAAGGGATTTCCTGGAGCATGCACTGTCTAGGTGATAGGGAAGAATAAAAATAAAATAGAATAAATTGAAGGGAAGAGCGGGTGGTGGTCTTGGCCAAGGGGGTCTTACGGAACAAGCCGCAGACCTGATTGCATCCGCGATGGGAAGCCTGGCTCCTCTCCAGGGATGCGGGGGCTGCCCGGTGTCGTGTCCTCTGACTCCCAAACAAGTCTCCCGGTGGCAGGGAGACGAGGAATCAGCCAGGAAAGGAGATCACACACACACACACACACACACACACACACGCACATACAGAGTAATTCGCGAGGTTGCCACCTCGCTCAAGCTGGCGAGGTGAAAAACCCTCTCCGGCAGCCCCCCGCCCCCCCAGTGCTGCCACCCAGCCCCGGAGCGGGCGGGGGGCTGGAGGCATGGGAAGGAGTTGGGTACCTTTGCTGTGCTGGTACTCGGCGCTCCCCGTGGCGCAGTCCGGGGTGCAGCTCACCTCGATTTCCTCATAGAAATCCGACTCAGTGTCCGAGCTGCTCTGCTGCCCTTTGCTGGAGGGGGGCTCCGGCGCGGGGGGCTGCTGTCCGGCCGAAAGCAGTGCTGCCGCCGCCGAGCGGCTCTCCGGCACCGTCCCTGTCCCTGGCAGCACCTCCACCTCCTCTTCGTCTTCTCCTCCGCCACCTCCTCCTCCTCCTCCTCCTCTCTCCCGGGACGACAAGGGGCCAGGTCTGGGGCTGAGGCAGTTCCGATGGATCATCTTCTCCTGCGGCTCCGGAGCGGGGCTCCCCACTGCTTCGGACAAATTAGGCACCCTCTTGCCAACTAGAGCGCCAAGAGTTGTCCCCTCCAGAAACATCACCATCTCCTTCCTGGTTTCCATTGTGGCTTTGCTAAAGGGAGGGGAGAAAAAATCCAGATCTCTTCCCCCCCTCCCTCCCGCTCCCGCCCCAGCCTTGTATAAACCCAGCAACCCTCTCCTGCCAATGCAGAGGAACAAGAGGGGAGATAGGGTGACCTTGTGATGCGAGCGCTACACTCTGCTGTGCTGCTCTGGGAGGGATCACCATTGCCCTCTTCTTTCTAAGCTGTCATCCTCAATGGTGCAGTCGTCATTACAGTACCACCGGTGACGCCACACATTGATTGCCAGTGGATAAATAGAAACGTCTGCCATTGGGAAGATGAAAGAAGAGCCGGAGCGAATGGGCTAAATGCATGATGCACCAGGTGTAGGAGCCCGAGATGGAGAGGGAAGTGTGAAAAAGAGATGCATATGGAGTTGAGCTGCAAAGAGGTTGTAACATGCGGAGAGAGTTCCGTGGGGGGAAGCCTTGCCTGACAATTATATAGCCCTTTGACTGCTTTAAGCCACAACCTTGATGTAGAATTGAGGCGAAGATCTCTAGCTGCATCCTGGAAGTGAGAAGATACGTACTCAAGCCTCTCCCTTGGATGCATTTTTTATTGCTGGCAATCAGCTTCCGCCCAACTGCATATATAAGGCTTTTAAGAATCCTTTGCAAACTTGACGATAAAGAAACGCTCTGCTGACATCTGAATGTAAAAATAGCTTTGATTTCTTGCTCCGGGTCAACATTGGTTCCTATTCGTTTAACTGTCATTGCTTTATATTGACTGCGATTAAAACGTTAGTTCAAAATTTGGAAATGCAATTATATACTTATTGCTTTTTACAGATTAAAAGATACTTCACTTAAACTACTTCACTTATAACTGTAGTTATTCTGGCTATCTAAGGTTATCATTTGCTCTTATTTCTTCCTTTGCTGTTTCCATTTGTTCCACGATTCTTATGCTTTTAAGAGAGTTTTATGTCTCCTCTCCTTTCTTCTTCTTAACTAACGGTTTTGCACAAATTATTATGTGCTTTCAGGGGGGGAAACTGCAAGAAGAAGCTTTGCCAAGAATAATTCAGGCTTAGAGAAATGCAAGTTAGCAAGGCCAGAGCTTATGCTAGACAGCAGATGTTGTTAAAACAGACATGACAAGGGCAACCATTTGGACAGCATTTGTCTGAAAATGAGAGACCTTGCATCCGTATATACAGCGGCACATGTAGTCGTTTTCGCATATTTTGATATTTCTAATGAATGCGGTAAGTATCTAATCTTCAGTTAATATTGCCTCATACGTGTAGTGTCAAGCCATTTTCGCCATCTGTCGTGACTAGGTTGGTCTAAATTTTTTTCTCAGAGTGTTATTGGCTAGTCAGGATACAGAAAACATTCAACCAATTACGTTCCTAACCCGGTAAGGAATTTACTGGCATATCTAAGGTGACGTTGCTTCGGTGGGGAACAAGCAGCGCAAGAGGAAACATGCTGTATTTTTCCGTTTAGCCCTGTGTGAGAGACGGGTATGATGTAAGGAGACAAACAAACAAACAAACAAACAAACAAGATTCCTGGTCCGCTGGATGCATGGATTAAGGTGTTCTTCTAGAATAAGCATACCGGTTTCAGGGAAATAAACCAAGAATTTTTACAGGGCTGTGGCTACCAGTCTCCCTTTCTCTCTGTGTATACACGTATGCATTTTTCCACGCAAATCCACATCATGCGCACAACACTCTCTGGACTGTGCTGCTTTCCCTCACACGTGTGAAGTGTGCACTGCTCCAAAGCCTGCAAACTTCTTGAAAACTCATTGCTAGATTCAATTTCCTTTTTCTTCCTTTCCAGCTCTAGACGGTGCGTGCCCGTTGCTCATTCCTGCCGCAGCCAGGCTCAGCTCCGCGGGCTGTGCCAGAGCGGAGCCGGGGAAGTAGGATCAGGTCCGGCTGCTGCAGTGCGTGGTTGGAAGGATGGGTGGATGGATGGATGGATAGATGGATGGATGGATAAGGTAGTCTGCCTTTGGCACTCAGCAGAGGCGGAGGGGCAGCGCTGACCCCGCTGCGTGGAGCGGTGCGGAGCGGAGCGGTGGGGCCAGGCCACGCAAGGTGAGGCGAGGGGGGGTTCGGGCAGCGTTGTGCCTGTGTCTCGCTGGTGCCGCTTCCCACAGCTGGTGGCATCATCTCTGCGGTTGGAAAGGGCAGAAGAGCTGTTTTCGTGTCCCTGGCATCTTCGGGTGTGTGTGTGAATGTTCAGCTTCCTCCCAGTCTCAGAGTAGCCCCAACCTCCCGAGGAAGCTCACTTCCAGCCTCCCTTCTAGTTCAGCCAAGTAGCCGTGTTGGAAGAGGCTGGCTGTTGTCTGTGGCGGACAGAGAGCATCTCCGCATCACAATGAGTTTGCTAGCAGCAAGAAGAGGGATACTCAAGTCTGTTTCTAAACAACAGTAAGCGGGAGCTGAATTCTGAATAGGAGGGAGCGCTCCCAGAGTGGGCGTTGGAGACGATTGCAGGGAAGTTGATGGGAAATCCTCTCTCTGGCAGACTGGAGCCCTGGAGATGGTTCCCGGGGATTATGCTGGCCAGTCCCCCAGACATTTTATTATCTTCGTTTACGAGTCACTGCTGTCTCCTTCCCCACCCCATTCTTAATCCGTTCCCACCAGGAAGCCACCCGTCAAGTACTTCGGGTCGGAGGTTTTGTTGAGCCCGGGACGATGGTCATTGTCACGGGAGGTTTGACTCAGCCCGCAGCAGCACAGGCTGCGGTGTACCCCCGCACGGACAGACGCACACCCCCGCACACACGCCTTTATTTCCCAAGGGTAAACACAGAGAATTTAAAGGCCCGAGTGGGGTCTAAGAAGGAGGGGGGGGAAGTACTGGAATTTTTGAGGTCAATTTAGATTGTATTAGTTAAGGCTTCTTAAAATGTCTATTTTTACATCCCCCAGGAGCAGTACTGCCGCAATAGCCCCTCGCACGTCAACAAGCCGCCGGCGCGGCGTGGTGGAACGAAGAGCCCCGTCCCGGTCTCTACCGCGTCTGCGGAGCTTTGCCTCGCCGGGAATGTGGGGTCCGGTGCGCTGCCTTCTGTCTAGTGTTTCTCTCAGATCTGTCATGCCCAATTTGGAAGGAGACTCCCTCATTTGGGATTAATTTCCAGGCAGATTGGAAAGTGTATCTCTATGGTCCCAGACAGAGATTTAAAACCTATTATCTGTCGCTCACTAGGTCACAGCCAGGCTGTCGTAACTATCCTCAAAACTTTTCAAACTGATTTATTTCTCCGAGTGTATAGCCTTCTCTGCTGATGTATGGCCAAGGCGAGATCAGGACGCCGAATCCTGCCTTAACACAGGCTAAAAGGTAGCCTGGTATACGAAAACCAAACGAAACACAGACACACACTTCCCAAAACAAGGAAGTGATAGGGAGACATTAAAACATTACTGGAGTGATACGCTCATAAATCAGGCATTTTCCTTGAAATTGCTAACCCTGCAGAAGGAAAGGCACATCACACTCTCCTTCCCCGCGGGATATTTATTTTCCTTCGCCGGTCAACAGAGTGTCAATAACTTTTGGCCGATACTGTCCAATTACGACTGAGAAACCATAATGTACCTTCAGTTTCTCTAAAAATAAACCCTGAAATCTTGTCATCTTTAAAAAAGGGGAAAAGTTTAGACATACTGCGGAACGATTCAGTGCCGCAAGAACTGATACGTAGTGCAAATGGGTAACCAAAACAGAAAACCTATTTTTAAATTTTTAATGGGTAGTGTTAACAATAATGGCGTAATTATCACTGTTTTATTAAGTCTATTTTTTACGACATGATTAGAGGTGGAAACTTTGGAAAGAAGAGAATAATAGGCGCATTATTCTGAGGTGTAAAGACAAGCTGGTACGATGACAGCACATAACACGTAAGTGACGTTGAGGAGACAGAGGACAGAGCCGTGAGTGGGATGTGCCTAGGAGAGCATGTACTGGTATTTACAGGATCAGATCCAGGACATGTTTCTGCCTCTATACACCTCTGAATGCCGGATACCGGCACCTCTGTCTGTTCTGGATTCTTTTTTTTTTTCTTTTTTACCTGTTGGTTGTCCGAAGCAGCAGTTCCCTGTCACCGCAGGAGGTTCTGGAGATTTTTACCTTGTTAGACCAAAACCCGGGGAAGGGAGAGGCGGGGGGGGAGGGGGTAAGGGCACGATTCCCGCATCTAGGACATTCAGGACAAATTTGCCGGTGGAAACTAAATCTCCTGCTTTGCTGATGTCAGTGAGTAAATCGTGTAGGAATTTGTGCTTTCAATTTCAGTTACTATCGCTTCCAGACTCGTCGAGAACCATAAAACTGCGGCAACCTTTTAATGTCCAATGAGGAGTAGAAACACGATCTGCGTGGCATACTCCATGATTCGAAAACAAAAAAAGTATTTATAGTGTGCATTTAATTCGGTGGAAGGCACAGATAAAGGAAAATGGACAGTATTTCAGTAGCTCCCGCGACTAGACTTTTTTTTTTTTTTTTAAAGATTTGATTTAACAAGAACTGAACTCGCAGTCCTCCGTGCTGTGCAACTTCGCGACTTCCCCCGGCGGGTGATGGCGTCACCCGAAACCTCGAAGCATCTCTTAGAGAAACATTGAGTTGAGGAGTCTCAGGGGATCTTTAGGTGCCCTAAGGAAGAGGCATAAGGAGGGACATGGCATTACTAAGAGAAAACCGCGGGAATGCCAGAGGTGAACACGCATCCTTTCACCCACGTAGTATTTTGGTGTCCTGCTTTATTAAAACAAACAAGAGGCCCGGGAGGGGCCGAGAGGAGCGGTGCTGCCGGCTGGGTCGCCGACCCCGAGAGCTGCCCGCCCTCCCCGTCGGGGCGCTGGTACCCGCCCCGGCCCTATCGCCGGCTGTCCCCCGGGTCACCCAGCTATTTCCCCCGCTATCGCCCCCGGGTAGGCGCCAGTGCCCCGGAGAGGCGGTCTCCCGGCCTTTCCCAGAAAGAAATGGTTGAAACGAGGGGCGTTTGCAGCGCACGGTGT